TTTTTTTTTGGGTAACGGGGGACATTTGGGACTTGCATCAGGGAAGCTGGACATGTAAGGGGCCGAGATGAAAAACTGGACCCCCTCCGGGAAGCTATCCCCCTCGCATGGAATCGCTGCCTGAAAAGGGGGCCCTACAATCTAAAAAGGAGACTGGGCCGTCCCCTGGTCCAGAATACGCTCGCCAGAAACTGTCGGCCGGGTTGCAGATATGACAGACCAGTCCGCCCACGTAGAAGCCTATGACATCATCTCCCCAACGGCCACATGCTTCGCGCTGCGCTGCACCGAAATCAGGAACGTGACAGCGACTACGAGTTGGCAAGCTTGGTGAGAGTGTAGTTGCTGGAAGAATCTCACCAAACCTTCTTGGCCTTCCAACCATCTTCCCCCAATCTGTGCCCTCCCTTTCTACCCCGGACCCGCAGACCCTGTTAAACAGGGGTACCAAAAAGTGGGGTACCAAAAAATGGAACTACACAGTTAAACAGGGGTACCAAAAAATGGGGGGGTACCAAAAAATGGGGTACCAAAAAATGTGGGATATCAAAAAATGGAACTACACAGTTAAACAGGGGTACCGAAATACACAAGAGGCAGCCCGGGCCCCATGGGTAATATCATCAAAAAAGATGGGAGAACGACTCCATCTTTCCACCGCTGGATCTCCCGGACTTTACATGAATTAGTTATGCACGCATAATGCCAACGTCCCACCGGGCCCTCCAATGGCAGATTCTGTACCGCTGCCTGCAAACAACACCTGACTGGCTCGTCTCAAGGACGGACCTCGAACAAAAGGGCCTCGTTTCCCCCATCTGTGCAGCTACTGTGACTGGTTCTCCCCACCCTCCTAGGCTGCATTGGAGCACTGTCTACCCAGATCTGGAGATGGTGGGACGCGGCCAGGACTTATCTCACTGTCTCCCAGTTCCCGTGGAAACGGAAGCTGTTGSTASTGGGGGGAGGGGGGGGGGGGGGRGGGATGACATCTCAGTGGGCTGGTCCCACTACAAAAATACCCTGTTTTCACACCACAAGAATCGAGCTGCTGATGTTCACCTGGCGGGCCCGCTGCTCATTTGAACGAAATCAATATACGTTCACTGCTCCCGCTGGGGGGCAAAAGAACACTTAGCGCTGTACACAGCCGCAAAAGGGTAAGAGCAGAATGGGATCACACCAAACAACAAATTCAAAAGTTCAAAACATTGACCCCATCCTCTCAGCCGCAAAAGGGTGAAGAAAGCAGAAAGCGAAGGAAATGACAGACCATTTTACGGAGGAGTGACTGGGCCAGAGGAGTGCCATGGCAGAGCTGCATGACTTCCAGCTCCACTGGAAAAAGTTGGAGGGAGGACGAGCGCAACTGTCCCCTTAAGCCTCCCACTCTCACTTCACAATCCCCTGTGCCACAACTCCCCCCTCTTTCATCCTTCTTCCCCCTGACACTTACTACCTGCCCGCTCCCTCCCACCCACCCGCCCGATGCCTCACCCCATGGCCACCATCTGCCCGCTCCACTGCCAGCGACGGTCAGAGTGGAGTCAGTGGACCTGTAGGGGAATACACAGGCTGCCCCTCCGGAGAGAGCTCACGCAACAGAGGGACAAGCGAGTTACAAAACAACCATCTCACGTCAAATGGCTTGAACCCGGTTGACCCTCTGTCGTGTCAGCTCTCTCCGGAGGGGCAGCCTGTGTACTACGCTATAGGTCCACTCCGACTGTCGCTGGCAGTGGGGCTGGCAGATGGTGGTGGGCATGGGGCGAGGCCAGGAGATAGGACCTCCCAAAATACGAAGGGTGACTCTCGCAGGCTGGTGTGAAGATTGGAGGCCGCACAGATGACGGACGACGGCAACAGCCTGTGGCAACAGAGCAGGAGGGATCTGGGGAGTAGGGGGTTGGGGAGGGTTTAGGGAGAGGGTTTGGGGGTAAGGCACATCAACAAAGACGAGGCTGCAGCAAACGCAGTCGATACAAAAAGGAAAAAGGAAAGTGAGCCTATAGGAAAGGCAGGAGCGTTTAGGGTTTGAGGTTTAGGGTTTATCACAAGAGAGCAGCAAACAATGAGGGGGGCTGTGGAGACCTGGAATGGGCAGGGCCTATGGACTTTAGGGGAGTGAGAGCGATAGATATGGTAGCCTACAATCCTAGGGTGGGGGGCAGGGCCAGTACATAAACGGGTTCCCCAGATGAGTAGGGTAACACCACCAGCAGCTCCAAGGGAGAATGGAAGCGCCTGAAGTGGGAAACGTGTTGGCTGTGGCCCCAGGGAAAACTGACAGAAAACATAGTCCTGAATGATGGATGTATCCAAGGGACGCTGGACCCGGTTTCCAGCAGGTGGAGCTCCCCACCAATAGAAGGAGCGGCCCACTAGACAAGCCCCCTCAATCCTGGTGGTTCACTTACCACCGCCGGGATAGTGGGCTTACACACGGGCTATTCTCAAAAACAAAAACAGAAAAACCAAAAAAAAAGAACAGAATCATTCTGAATTTGCTGGGGCCGGTCAGTTCAATCATTTAATGGTGATATCCCGAGGCCGTCGCCCTTCTGACAATAAAGCTTCACCTGCTCAAAGTTGTGACCGTATCACGGTGGTATACTGATCCCGGTTAACGAACCGGAACAAGTGGGAGTCGTCACTCGGTGATAGTAAGGGGGAGGAATATGACGCACTTTGTGCACCCTTCCGTTAGGGGGGTCCATGAATTGTCTGAAAGACTGAACGGGAATAGCACTGAAATGACCCGCGTGATGTCAGGCACATAACGCCGCTACCGTCTTCACGCAAAAAATAACGCCTGGGCCAGGGTTGCATACCTGCCGACCGCCGACCGCCGACCGTATTGCAGCCGACCAGTAGGGCCGACCGGTCGGCGGTCTGCCAACCAGTCGGAAAACAACCATCCACTGATTTGTTTTCAAATCTGAGTTGGGGGCTGTACTGCACTTGCTGAGTAAGGTACGGACACTACAGCCATGCAGGGGGGGGGTGGATATCATGACGGGTACGGTTCCCACTTTTTCTGAACACCGTGCCATGGCTGTAGTGGTTAAGAAACTCGGCTCTTAAGGGCTGAGGGCGCCGGTTCGAATCCGTGCGTGCACGGAGGAGGTCCAAGGCTGGTAATAGTACCGACTGTCTGCCAGGCCCATTCCCATGGCTCTGGCAAAGGTTCCAGAGACGGGTCAGCACCAGCTGGGGGGCTCCATCAAATGATCGGAGGGTGGGCCATCGCCATCTGGATGACGGGAACAATCAGGAAGAAACGAAAAAGAAGTTGGGGGGGTAAGATGCTGGGAGTGGAAACTATCAGCCGCACTTGGTGGTGGTGGCTGGTCATGCACATGCTCCCACAGGTGGTTGCACCACGTGTGTGGTTGCACACGCAGGCCCGCAACATCGTAGAAATCATCACCGCATCGTGGAAACCAGACTCAATTTAAACCACCAGTACCTCCACGTTTTTAGGCCGTTAACGCGGTGGCTGAATCGGTGCGCCGCGTGGGTCCATATGCATGTGCATCTGAGGGGGCCCAGAGGGGGCCTAAGACCCCCTGGGGTGTTGGTGGTCCTAGCTTGAATACATTGGGAGCGCTGACGTGAGAGCCATGGCTGTGGAGCGCACGTACCAGGGCTCGAAGAGTGCCAGCAGCACCTCAAGTGCAATCTGCGTTCTCGTCCAACCTGTGACAGTTGGAGTCCCATTCCGGGACAAGAGCATTTGGTGGAACCGGTGAACCATTCAGGTCGAGTGGGACCTGAATGGGACAGAGGGCTTGTAGTAG